TCACCAGCGACATGGCCTTTCTCCACCGTGGCCAGAGGAATGCAAGAGGAATAAGCTGTACTACCTGGCCAGGAGGCAGCTCATCACTTGCACCTTGCCTCCCCGAGAGGCAGGCGCCCCTGAGTTACTCACGGCCGCCGTGCAGACGCACAATGTGTCAGCTGCTATTGAGCTTGCAGCGGCTCTCCTCCTTTTCTGCCCAATTTTGGATACTTCCTAGAGAAAAAAAAAAAAATCCAAAAATTACTAAAAGACGCATGAATGCATTTAACAGCTTATTTGTAGCTATTTAGGAAACTTGTCTTACCTGTAGTTCAATCATACAACAAAAATAAACACAAAATAACATGTATATATTGCTCGCCAAATTTTTAAAGTCACCTAAATAACTGCCTAGGGTGATGTATCTTAAAGTCACTGAAGCTCATAATGTCTTTGAAGCGAGCAGATAATGTTCGCATCCATCTCCGCAGCTCGCTGAAGACCTCAGAAGTGCTGAGCCAGCGCTGGAGGGCTGCGTGGCAGCGACTTCGGGGGAGAGAACCCTGTGATCCGCCTGCCTCAAACCTAGTTTGATTTTTGCCATGCTAGAATATGTCTTAGCACGGTAACGACAAAGGTGTAATGTATCCCTCGACTCCAGTAATGACTGATATAATTCTCTTCTGTAGACTAATTTACTTTAACCTGCCTACATATTATTAAAACGCCAGTCACCGGCGCATCGAAGCAAATAAGGGGCATTACAGACTAGTGAAGTGACTGCACGAGAAACAAATGAAGGACTATTTGGTTCTGATACTCCAAAACTGCTGTGGTTTTGGCTTTTCTTATTTTTTTAAATAAGATTTTACTTCTTGAAATTTTAAGTCTTGCCCTCTAACATGCCCAAACTGAACAAAGTCTGTCAGAGCCTTCTTTATTGCTATTAATGGTATGGGGAAGGCAATCCAATGCTTGTGCATGGGCAATAATATCAGACAGGTCGTTTCTTCTTCTTAATTTAAGGCAAGGTTCCAACTTGATGGACCTATAGCCTTCTCAAATGCCCTTTCCTTTGCATAGATTTAAAAAAGTGACTAGTTACATTTAAAGGAGCCCAATTGCTGGAACCACCTAAAAATTAATTCCCTTCACTATGTCGTACATTAGACCGTTAAATCTTCATGCAGCTTAAAAATACCTAGATTTCCCATGTACAATGTGCCAAATTCCTTCAGGGACTTTTTCCAATGGGGAGGCAAGATAAAATTGTGTTTATCAATCTTCAGAACACTTCCAATTCATTACGGAAAAGGGCAGCTTATTCCAAAAGATTTCTAAATCTCAGAGCAAAATATCACCAGCCTTGGAAATCATTCCGAGCGGCGGATTGCTTTTACAGGCTCTTTTTCCTTGGTTGCAGATCCTGCCCACGGCGTTATCAGGACAGTATAATTTCAGTGCCCTACTGACATCTGCAAGGCAATTACTAGCTAGAGAGACAGGCAGCAGTCAATTTTTCCCAAAGTCTTCCAGAACCCGTTATCTGGTCACATCAGTTGTTGTCTTTTGCACAGCACAAAGTTCAACAGCTTTGGTCCCAAGGTCAGCCTGAGTCTTTTTTTTTTTTTTTTTTTTTTGTGCTTGTCTGGATTCTGCGCAACTGGGAACTCTCGCAGCAAGACGGCTCCTTCTTGGGAGCTCGGTGCCACCCCGGCACTACACCAGGACCACAGAGGTGCCACCACAAGCAAACGTTCAGTAATGAGTTCTCGTCAGCAAGGCCCCATTTGCTGTTAGCTGGGAGAGGAATCACTGGGGCCACGGCAGAAAGTTCGTATTTCTTGGCTCTTACCTGGAGACCTGGTGAGTCGCTCCATCCTCCCCCTCAGAGCGGTCACTGCCCTCCCAAGAGCTGCGTGAAGAGGAGCAGACACCCCTTCCCTAAGAAGAGTGTGGACATACTTTTAGGCTGACGATGTAACAGAATCACACGATTCCAGGAAATGACACTTTAAAAACAAAAAACCAAATATGAAATAACAAAAGACCGGAAGTGAAGGCATTAGTTCTGGGTTTTTTTTGCATTACAGTTAAAGAGCAAGTTTTAATCAAATTTCTTTGGCTGTTATTGCAGCCATTGTAGTTTAGGTTTCAATTCCACTTACGCCGAGAGTCCCAGACAGGCTTGTATCGAGCCCTTTTAGTTTGATCACCACAACCGGCGCTGGTTCAGGTAGCTCAGTACGTGCCACAACGTCTTCTGCTTTGATCTAAAGCAATCCACCACATAAATATTTAGCTCTTCGTGACCGTTAGCACTTACGTAAGGTATAACTTCATGGCTTCAAAACATTCTTGGAACATTACCTCCTTAATTGTCAAGAATACAAAGAAAAAGTTACAGGGTTCTTGCCCAAACTGGCATCAGCGTATAAACAGCAGAAACCCAGCGACATTTCAGGCAGAAAAGCATGAACTCATCCAGGAGACCGCGTACACAGTAGTATATTTTGTTCTTCTTGGGCAGCACAATTCCCAATAATTGCAAAGAAAATCTGTAATCCGAGTCTAATGCTAGTGCCAAACACCCCTCAAAACACTGCTGAACTTATTTTGAAATCAGGAAGTGAAAAAAGGGGAGTTTGTTTAATTTTACAGTAGTTACAAAGTTGTATTTTCCCCAGAGTGTGGGGGGAAACTGCATTGATAAAGATCATAAATAGAATTTAAAAAATAAAGAGCTGTTCTCCAACAGCCACGTGAGCCCAGCAGCTGGGGGTTCAAGGCAAGAACATATACAGACAGTAAGTATTCCCGCTTGACATTTCCCTCTCTGGTTTTGTTACTATCAGGTTGGCAGATACATAACTGCCCTCTTAAAAACCGAACCAGAATTATACAACTGTCTTTAATGAACCTAATAATAAAACATTACCATCCTGATCTTTTAGGAGCACGAGAATGCCATCACACTTCTGATGCTTACTGAAACGCGTTCCAGTGCTGATACGGAGCCCACAGGAATCAATGGGAGTTCTTCCATTTTCAGCTCAATAGGCTGTGGGTGAATGTTTTAAACTCAATTTGAAGGAAACTAGTGTTTCAGGCAGCTTTCTCCCTCCGTCTGCAGCAGGGCTAAAGCTGACAGGCATCAAGATGTCTAATGGAGCTGGCGGTAAACTCATCCCCTGCCTTTCACTCCATTTTCTTTTCATTTCCTGTCTACCACTTAATTCTAAATACATTACCTTCGATACATCGAGTTGACTTTGCATGTCCATGTTTCCCTGCAAGCTGCCTAGCGCATAGAATGTGCACATCCATATTCCTCCTTCCCTTTCAGAGAAAAATACGTGAGTTTTTCAGGCGAGAAACGCAGAAGACAAGACAATATTGTATACGCGATACGAGACTCGGCACTTCCAGAAATTCATTAAGCTCTCACTTTGTGGCCAAGTGCACTTCTCATAAAAACACCCAATATAAAGACTTGAAACAAATCATCAAATTCATTACGTCCTCGACCCCATTGTTATATTATTGTTGTTAAAAAATTATACCTTGCGTTCTAATCTGAATTGGTTTATCTTCAGCTCACGGTTTGCATCGGAAAAGCCTGCCTTCTGACAGAAGAGACAAAAAAACCACTTTAGTACAAAAAGAAGGCTGCTTCTCCCTCTTCCCCTCCCCAGGCCCACGTAGGTGTTCCCACAAAATCACCTCTTAACCTTTCCTTAGACAAGCCAAATAAATTGAGCTTCTTCAGACTCAGGTTTCTTAAACCTCAAAACAATTCCTTAAGCTCCTTCTAAGAGGCGAGATAGAGGTGAAACAGGACAAAGCTTTGTCCCCTTAGTCCACCGAGTCACCGTGTCACACATCCAGAGAAATCATTCAAACAGTAACTTGTCTGTGGTGTCCCAACCACAAAATAATATGTTTATTTTTGCCACCACTTTTTTTTTGTTGTTGTCATTTTATTGATAAAAACTACACAAAAACTAACTGATCATAATAATTAATTAAAAAAACAAAACCCAATGTTACACATTCTCCTGTGTTTTAGAAATTGTGTCAGCCAGTGAGTTTCACCAAATACTCTTGCTTTAAAAGATTTTCCTTCTGATCCATTTCAAGCACATCACTTCCATTTTACTAAACGAGCACCGCTGGACTGTAAATATGAGAGTCGTTACTCCGTTGCATGTTTTCCCTTTTTTTTTTTTTTTTTTAGAGCCCGAAAGGTAATTATAGTGTCAACAATGAAGCACAATGAAGATAGTAAAAATCAAAAGCACCCTCCGTAGTGTACAGCCTGTGTCTTAAATGTACATGCACCCGAGTTTCTTTGTTTCTGCTGCATCAATTGCCAATGTCCTTTTGGTTCAACATAAGCTTTAATGCCCATGTCTGAAGTTTGAAATATTAGCATTTGACCACTAAAAAAAATAAAAAATAAAAAAAAAAACAAAAGACCAAACCCCCTAAAGAAAAAAGAAAATATATCTCTATCTTTTGTTTGTTTAAAAAGAACAAAAATATTAAACGAATCTTTGAAGAGTAATAAACACTTAATAAGGAACCATGGCTGATCCACCCCCCCAACCCCGTCCCCTCCCCGCCCCCTTTATTTTTTACCTGTGGTTCTCCTTCCCTGGAACCGTGCAATGTAGAAAAATCAAATATACAAACAAAACTCTTAATCCATCCCTTTATGTAGCTAGAGTGAAATCTATTTTTTTTTTTTTAATAAGAACTTGACAATCTCTCTTTAATATTTACATTGAGGAATTTGTTTGAAAGTTTAAAGCAAAGAAAATCCTGAAGTTCTCAGTGTGTACTGCAAGAGAGCATTTCCACAGTCTGCGGAGTCTGCGTTATCCCCTTCCCTTTGTCTGTGTTGGAACATTTGTAACTGGAATGGTAGATTTTAGTTTCTTGCCTTGGTCTCTTCTGAGATGAAAGGTCCCTCAGAAGAATTCCTTGCTCCGCCCCTGAAGAAGTTGTCTCCATCGCTAGTTTGGTATTCTCTCAATGTAAATGGCCGGAGCAGCCGAACGCGCGATTGTAGCTATGAAGCTGTGGTCTCGACTGAGTTCCAGGTTGGTTGTCTCAGCCTGCTCCCGGGCCATGGCATCGTACCCCTTATTTACATGGAGAGGCTTATGAGCTTGGCAGTATCCGATCACTGGTTGGTCGTAACTGTAATAGGGTAAAGTCTTCATGTGGTGAGGAACCTGCACCAGAGGAAGAGACCAAAAGAGAGAAACAAGTAAAAAACAGGCTTAGTCATGCATTTGTACAGCATCTATTGCAATGCAGCCTCAGACCCACCAGGTGCTCAGCACATCCGCATTCATAGAATCACAGACTGGTTTGGGTTGGAAGGGACCTTGAAGACCACCCAGTGCCACCCCCTGTCCTGGGCAGGGCCACCTCCCCCCAGCCCAGGTTGCTCCAAGCCCCGTCCAACCTGGCCTTGAACACCTCCAGGGATGGGGCAGCCACAGCTTCTCGGGGCAACCTGCCCCAGGGGATCACCGTCCGCACAGCCAACAATTTCTTCCTCATTATCTCATCTCAATCTCCCCTCTTTCAGTTTAAAACCGTTCCCCCTCATCCCATCCCTACGCTCTGCATAGTTCTTGCAGCAAGACAGACCTCTGATGCTTCTAGGTTGTCTGTAGCACCTGTGGACCCCTCCTGAAGAGGACTGCTCACATTCGGGTGAGCCACTGTGTCCCCACTCGTGGATGGACGTTACACCCGCTGAAAGCCATTGAGCGGCTCTGGCCCTTTGCAGCGCGGTGGAGCCAGACCAGAGGGGGCTACTGTCCCTATAGGTGACAATGTTTGTGGGCAGATTTTTGCAACAGTCTCACATGCTGAGTTCTGAGCTCTTTCGGACAATCCGGCTATGAAAGGTGAACTGGAAGCTACTGGTAATACAAACCTTTGGAAGAAGGGCCGGTTTTCAAGAGTTGGCCATTTCTACAAAGCTCAAATCAGCCTGAGCATGTCAAAGGACTGGAAAACCTGGCTGCCAGCGTGGGTGGCTTTCAGCACAGCTGGAACACACGTTTATTTCTTCCACGACAAAGCGGCTTGCCCAAGGTCACCATTCCCTGGGTCCTTCATCTTACAACCGCACCAAGCAAAACACTATCAAAGAGCCTCAACTGATGTTGGCTGGAGCAGAGCAGATCCGCACCTTGTCACAGTGGTCATGTACTTGAAAAGTCTGCAAGATCTCTCCTGAATCCCATCTCTCTTCTTCATGTAAATACTCAGAAATTGCCAGTCCCCCACATTCTCCCCCCCTCCCCACCCCCAACGTTCTACGCTTGCAAATGTTAATCCTACAACTAAATATGATTTATGGCACAACATCAGATACAAATCTTCGCAGATAATTTTATCATCTGCAAGAGATGAGCTGATCAAGTAGAAAGAAATATGTTCTTCAGGAAAAAACCCACACGCTGCAGGAGATACGGGCAAGAGTTTATTCTAACACTGCTAGAAAACCTGAGCTCATTATAGCTGGAGATATCCTACACATAAATTGAATCTTGTAACAAATGCCTTTTTATTTTCCATGCTGAACTTTAACTGAAGACTGCAGAGCTGATTTATCACAAAATCTCCATTGTATGGTGCCCTTCATTCAAAAAGGTATGAAAAAAGCAAAGGCATTAAGACTAATTATAAGTTTTGCAGGGTTAGAGTTCCTCATGCATTTGGATCTCCTCAGCGGTGAGATTCCTCCCCCTGCCTCTCTGCAGAACGCTGGAGACGTTCCAAAACTCTTCCAGAGCTGAAAACGTCATTTTACGTGACAGCTGAATGGCAAGAATGCAGAAGACAAGCTGCTCGGTAGAATTTGATGGGACAACTGTGTTCACTTGTGGATCAAATTCAGCCACAGTGCAAGAAACTGTAACTCCCTTTGGATTCAATAATATCTACGCCAATTCGTATCAGGGCTTGAAGCTGTCCTCAGCCTTTAAGGCAGCTCTTTATGATTCTATAAAAGCCAAAGACTGTTTGTGTTCTGGAGAGCGGAGAGATTGAGGTCTCGGCTTTGCAGCAATAACACACAGTACATTAACCACCCGAGCCCGGTGTGCAGCACTGTTTGCTTGTCTTCTCCCCTTCTCCAAACAGGAGTCAACAGGATCAGGATTTCAACAACATCCCCAAACGGTGCATAAACACATGTCCTTTTCAACTGTTTCTCAGCAGTTTTAGGGAAGCGCTCTCTTGTTTTCACTTAAAAGTCAGGTTTGTGACTCATCATATTAATAAGGGTGACTGTGCCATGCGTGTGGAGGGAAGGTGGATATTCCTTGTCAGCGTAAAAAAGAAAACAAAATAGGTATATCAGGCAACCCATGGGATTAAGGAGCTGCAGGTTAATTTGTAGAAAACATTTCCAGGATAATGAAGCTCCGCAATGGATTTGAACCTCCCTGTTCTCAGGCCTGGCTTTTGTATTACCCTTCCCCTCCCTCTTTTGGGTCCTAAATCCCATCAAGGGAATTTAAAAAAAGAAAAAATAAAAAGTAAATCATGTTAAATGACTGTAAGAAGAATTAGCATTGAGATACCTCCAGGAAAGACTGAATGAAAAAATACCAACAATTCCCCCCTCCCAAGTCAGTTCTTGTGAGGCCTCTAGAACTGAGGTAACAACCACACGAACAACTCAAAAAGAACCTTCCTGATCACAGTGAAAGCCTCCAAAGGACTGTTCCCCCATAATGCAGTGTCCTTTCCTTGCCTGAAACTACTTCTCTTAAACATAATGTCGCATTTTCAGAAAGAGATGAGGGATCTGTTTGCATTTACAGTGAAATGACTGTACACGAAACCCAAAACCACAAAAGCTTTTTCAGGACACAGCATTGACCGTAGAAACTATGGCAAATGTGGGCAACTGTACCACCGCTCAGTTTGATGCAAGTAGAAAGGACGGAACATACTGATGACATTGTTTACAATAAACAAAGCTATTATGTTTTTTCTCATTCAGAGATCAACAAAACATATTCAAGAACATCTAAGTTGTTGAAAATTAATTTTGTAAGTATTTTTGCTCCTGGTTCTGAAGTACCTTCTTTTTTGTTTCATTACTGCCACGGAACTAACGTTTGAGATGCCGAGAGATGTGCCCTTGGACAAGTCATTTTATGAGCTGGAAAACGAGAAGATTAGGTCCTGCCCCTGCTTGCCCCTGGAGACCAGAGCTCTTTGAGGCAAGGGCTGTTTGTGCAGGGACTAAAACAACACAACCCCAACCTCGGCTGGGGCCTTTCCGCTGCCATGGCCTCTGAGAGACAAAAAGGCAGATGACCAGAGTGAAAAAAATCCAAACAGGTCACTAAATACCTCCGCAAACACTCGGGGATTCTGTCATCTCTATCTCAAGGCCTTTCCCATGGAAGACATGTTTTTCACCAGCTCAAAGGTGGGAGTCAGGCTGAGAATTTACCTGCCAGTAAAGGCAGAGGCAAGAACTGGGATCCTCTAGCACTGTGTCCTTCGCTGTCTCCTCCATGCCACTCTGCTGCCACTAACCTCAGCCGTGTGTGCTATAAAACTCTGTAAATTTAGTCTTGGAAGAAGTTCAATTGTAAATAAAGATAAAGATTGCTCACATGGAAACACCATAGATGCAAACCAAACCTCTTTCTTTCATATAATCTGTCATAAAATCTGATTCAGTTCTTGGCTTTGTGTGCTCACTCACGCTGATGCTCCACACCAGCACAGTCCAGTGCAGCGAGAGGAGCTCAGGGGTGGGATACAGAACGCCAAGACTTTTTACAGGAGATGATGGGTGTGTCTGATCACAGCACTTTCTGAATCATTTCTATTTTAGTTTCTAAAAACAACACTGCCTAATACTTACTTGAAGCATTAAAACTTTTTTTGCAGTAGGAAAAACATAAATCAACAGGAGAATGATAGAATCATAGAATGGTTAAGAGTTGGAAGGGACCTTGAAGACCACTTAGTTCCACCCCCAGCCCAGGTTGCTCCAAGCCCTGTCCAACCTGGCCTTGAACACCTCCAGGGATGGGGCAGCCACAGCTTCTCGGGGCAACCTGCCCCAGGGGATCACCGCCCGCACAGGAAAGAATTCCTTCCCAATATCTCATCTCAATCTCCCCTGTTTTAGTATAATACCATTCCCCCTCGTCCCATCGCTCCCCTCCCTGATGCTGAGTCCCTCCCCAGCTCTCCTGGAGCCCCATTAGGCACTGGAAGGGGCTCTGAGGTCTCCCCTTTTTCGCCTTCTCTTCTCCAGGCTGAACCCCCCCACCTCTCCCAGCCTGTCCTCCCAGCAGAGGGGCTCCAGCCCTCCCAGCATCTCCGGGGCCTCCTCTGGCCCCGCTCCAACAGGTCCATCTCCTTCTGCTGGTGGGGACCTGGCACTCCAAAGTCACTGATGTACATGTGATGGACATTGTGGTTTTAGCCCATGTATGGCACCAAGTAGGAATGTCTTCTGCTCTAATGCCTTATATTAAGGGAGCATCCTGCCTATCCAGTGTCGCAGATAGTTGATTAAACGAATGAATGAATCTGTGCTCTGAAGAAGGCATTGACTCCATAGCGCAATGAACTTAGCGCCTTACACGCACTCTAAGCGTTCATGTGGGTTTGGGGCTAAGGGGCTGGATTAGTTGGCTCGTATTGGCTTCTGAAGTCCACACCTCTGCAGATCTTCACTTTAAACGTAATTAACATTGCATCTTAGCAGCCACACACTTCAAACAAAGGTTCTATTACAAGCAAAATTTACATAAATCCCCAGCTACAGGAGGAGGATAAAAGATTTAGCGGGGGAAATTTAAGAAGGCAAATCTTCCCTTTCGCAGTCGACTTGCCAGTGGAGAGGGCAACAGCTCAACAGCCTTGCTGCCGAGTAACAGCTCCCTTCAGAGCAAGCTGGACTAACTTGGGTTTACCTGAAATTCTGTGAAATTCTGACCTGCATCAAAAAGATATTTCTCAACATTCCCTGCCCACATTCCTTTCACATTTGGCAATGACGTTCAGTTAAACCCTCAGTCATTCCAACATGCAAATCCACGTCTCCGCTTTCCAATTCAGGTGTTTTGTCATTTTGATTTTTTGGTTTTTTTTAACACAGCACTAAATTTTATCAACAGAAATATTGGGAGGTAAATTACCTAACTTACTCTATATATTTCTGATGATTATTACA